CAGGAGATACTCATTTTAAGGCCTCCTGTGCTTTGAATACTTACCCATTAGTAGTTTTAAATCATTAACACAGCCTTGTTCAAAATTCAGAAATATGGTCAAAATGAAAGTGTTCAACATACCTTTTACACACGCCATAAGATTAACTGTTTTAAAAACTAAAATAATCATTTTTCTTTAACACTATGCATGTGTAAAAACTAAATCCAAGTACAGTGAAAAACCAAGTAAAGTGATATTTGGCGTGCAAAAATAGCAGTGCAAAAATAGCAGTGTATTCTCATTATGAGTTCGTATGAAATCATACGAAAAGTTATGCACCGTAATTTCGTACGTTTTAGATGTTTTATTCGTGGTATTTCGTCGTATTTTTACGTCTTGCCCCGAGACAAGATATCCTTGCGCATGCGCATCTTACGCACCATTCAATAACATACAATTTAACATACAGTTAACCCTAACCCTAAGATACAAAACATCAAGCAATGTATTTAGAGACATGAAGAAGTAAATATTGCACTGTTTTTCCCAGTTTTACGTCCCTCCGCGGATCTGCTTTTTTCGTCTGTCTGGCTGCGCATGCGCACTGATCTGTTTTTTCGAGGAAAAACGTCAAAAACGTACGAAATACTGTGCATAACTTTTCGTACGATTTCATACGAACTGATAATGAGAATATGTTGAAAATAGTGCATAAATGGGGGGGATCACTTGAGGGAGGCGTTATAGAGATTGATGACCACTGGTAGGAACGATTTCCTGTGGCGCTCTGGGGTGCATCTAGGTAGGAGGAGTCTTCTGCTGAAGGAGCTGCTGCTGAAAGAAGAATCCTTGTCTACAGGTGCTGGTCATAAAATTAGAATATCATGAAAAAGTAGATTGATTTCAGTAATTCCATTTAAAAAGTGAAACTTGTATATTATATTCATACATTACATACAAACTCATATATTTCAGATGTTTATTTTGTTTAATTTTGATGATTACAAATGACAACAAATGAAAATCTCAAATTCATCATATCAGAAAATTAGAATATTACTGAAGACCAATAAAAACAAAGGATTTATAGAAATGTTGGCCAACTGAAAAGTATGAACATGAAAAGTATGAGCATGTACAGCACTCAGTATTTAGTTGGGCCTCCTTTGGCCTGTATTACTGCAGCAATGCGGCGTGGCATGGAGTCGATCAGTCTGTGGCACTGCTCAGGTGTTATGATAGCCCAGGTTGCTCTAATAGTGGCTTTTAGCTCTTCTGAATTGTTGGGTCTGGTGTATTGCATCTTCTTCTTCACAATACCCCATAGATTTTCTATGGGGTTAAGGTCAGGAGAGTTTGCTGGCCAATTAAGAACAGGGATACCATGGTCCTTCAACCAGGTACTGGTAGCTTTGGCACTGTGTGCAGGTGCCAAGTCCTGTTGGAAAATGAAATCTGCATCTCCAAAAAGTTGGTCAGCTGCAGGAAGCATGAAGTGCTCTAAAACTTCCTAGTATGTGGCTGCGTTGACCCTGGACCTCAGAAAACACAATGGACCAACACCAGCAGATGACATGGCACCCCAAACCATCACTGACTGTGGAAACTTTACACTGGACTTCAAGCAACGTGGATGAAGTGCCTCTCTTCTTTTCCTCCAGACTCTGGGACCTTGATTTCCAAAGGAAATGCAAAATTTACTTTCATCAGAGAACATGACTTTGGACCACTCACCAGCAGTCCAGTCCTGTTTCTCTTTAGCCCAGGCAAGACGCTTCTGACGCTGTCTGTGGTTCAAGAGTGGCTTGACACAAGGAATGCGACAGCAGAAACCCATGTCTTTCATACGTCTGTGTGTGGTGGTTCTTGAAGCACTCACTCCAGCTCTAGTCCACTCTTTGTGAATCTCCCCCACATTTTTGAAGGGGTTTTGTTTCACAATCCTCTCCAGGGTGCGGTTATCTCTCTTGCTTGTACACTTTTTTCAACCACATCTTTTCCTTCCCTTCGCCTCTCTATTAATGTGCTTGGACACTGAGCTCTGTGAACAGCCAGCCTCTTTAGCGATGACCTTTTGTGTCTTGCCCTCCTTGTGCAAGGTGTCGATGGTCGTCTTTTGGACAACTGTCAAGTCAGCAGTCTTCCCCATGATTGTGTAGCCTATAGAACTAGACTGAAAGACCATTTAAAGGCTTTTGCAGGTGGTTTGAGTTAATTAGCTGATTAGAGTGTGGCACCAGGGGCCATCAATTTTGAACCTTTTCACAATATTCTAATTTTCTGATATGATGAATTTGAGATTTTCATTTGTTGTCATTTGTAATCATCAAAATTAAACAAAATAAACATCTGAAATATATGAGTTTGTATGTAATGTATGAATATAATATACAAGTTTCACTTTTTAAATGGAATTACTGAAATCAATCTACTTTTTCATGATATTCTAATTTTATGACCAGCACCTGTAGAGTAGGGAGGCAACAGCTTTCTGTCATCCCAAATTTTTTTTATTTCTTTTTCCTTTTTTCTTTATCTTTTTTTATATTCTATTTCATTTATTTATTTTTATTTGTCATCCCCAATCTTAACTCCAACATACAGACTGGTACAACAATTCTAAACAGTAACTCTATTTAAAAATATTTTATCTCACAAATAGGCCAAGGAAAAATAAGCTTCCACATTTCATAACTGGAGCAAAGGATTTCACTGTTATTTGGAGCAAGGCGAAGATGCCGATTATGGCGAGCTAAACGCAGAGTTTAAAGGACTTAAAAAATGGCCAAATAAAAGTAGTGATTTCTATCGCAGGACTCCTGCTTATGACAGAGCCTCCTCTCATGACCTTTAACTGTGTGTGGAACAGTTTGCAAAGCTACCAGTACACAAAGCACAGAGCTTATAAAAGTGAACTTTGTCCCTGCGTTTCTTCTGCATGTATTATTTGCTCCTCCTTAGATATGAATGTGCTATGTTTTTATTATGCCAATAAAGACTAAGGATTCCTAGTTCTCAAACAGCATGATGCATGCTGGGAAATGTATTGTCTTGCAACCAGAAAAGATAAGAAAGGTATGAAGAAAGACAAGACAGACGACTTTGGAGCTTGATCAGAAAAGCAACAGCAGGAGGGGAAACAAAGCTAAGGCAGGTTTGTTAACTCTGTTCCAGGAAAGAAACTCATCTCTGCAGATATGTATGATGGGTATGAATGAGCAGAAGTTGACTCTCTAGGACACACCCCCTCCTCATTTGCATAATGAGGTAGAAATGCATAGAGAAATGTAAAAAGGCAGACAGAAATGTAAAAAGGCAGACAGAAATGTAAAAAGGGCAGAGAGAAATGTAAAAAGGGCAGAGAGAAATAAACAGCGGCGAAGAAATAACTAAGGTAAAAAAATACAAAGGAAGAATAAAACAGACAAAAATATTATAACATGCACATAAATAAATACTTAAAAATATAAGTAATTAAAAATAAAGTTGAAGATTATAAAGGACAGAAAAATAAATAAGGTAAATATTACAAAGGCAAATAAATAAAGAAGCTAATTAAGAGTTATATACATTTATGTCTCACTTTTTTGTTATTTCTGTATTTATTTTTAAATATGGCAGAGTTGGTCCTTCATATGAATCTGCATCCTAAAAGCAAACTTGAAATTAATATTTCAGAGAATTATATCATAAACGCGGCAAATTCAATTCCAGCTTGAAAACCAATATTAATCTGTTTCAAGTATCTATTTTTTATCAAACCAAAGAATGATGTCCTTAAAGAAGAAAACTGTGTTCCAGACATTTTTAACCAAACTTAAATTTATTTATTTTTTAGAAAGACCCTAGAATGTTCTTCAGTATTGGGATTTAATGCTAATATTAATGTTGTAGCTATCTGTGCATGTCGTAATGTTAGCTAATCTAATATTTAACCTGCAAAAGTACCTAATTGCACTTAACATATTCTTTAAACTGATCTACGTTTAATGCACAGGAATAAAATATCTCTCATTCAGCCAATTAAAGACACACCACATCTGTTTCTCTCCATCTTTTTCTTTTTAGCTTTATTCTGTAAATATTATAAAGTTTCTTCAAACTAGTGCTAAAAATTAGCTTCTTCAAACAATCTTCTAAGGCCTGCTGTGTTAGTATCACAAATCAGCCGATGGATTTTTATTTCTCAGATGAAAGTATAATTTTTCTTTGCTCATAGATTGTGTGGCAGATAAAGAGAAGGTGATGATGATCCAGAGAAACATCAGAGGGCAGATTATAAAACAACAAATGAGCCGTCGGTCAGAGACGTGGGGGCCGCTTTACCAAAGCGGGGCTCTGATCAGCGCACCTTTCCAGCTGTGGGAATCTGCCACCTGAAACAGTCAAACATAAACAGGAGGCAAAAACTGTTGAGTTAGAGGCTTTATAGAGTGGACTAAAAAAAGGGCAGAGATATAGACAGGTATGGGGCATTGCAGGCTAACAAAGAAGCCAAACGACCCCCATTCCAAAGGGGGGGACCCGTTCATCCGTTTCTATTTGCATGTTTTCCAAACTAAAACCAGGCTTTGTTGGGCTGCTGGATAAAACCTGGAACTCAACGCTATTTCTGACATTTTGAATTGAAAAAGCTTCCTAGATGGGAAGAAAAGTCCAGTGGATTTTTTTTTTTTTTATCTTTTTTGGAATTAACTTCTAAAACAACACGAACTTTGCAGCTCTTTGTCTGGAGGCAGTGTTGTATTGTATTGTAGCGGCACTCCAGCTCCTTTAGTTTCTTCTGTACCGCATGGAAAAACAGTCTAATAACTAGTTTTGAAACGCGATTCCAGATAATGTTCTTCAACTTGTGATGTTTATTGAAAGAAAACAAAAATAAGAGATCATCCACATTCGTATAAAATAAACTCGGTCAAAACTGTGTTCCTTCCAGCATATCTGTTTTCCCCTCAGTCCTTACGTACAGCACGTAAAAGCAAACAAAACAACACATATACAATTACAGCATGCAGGAAGCCCAAAAATATGCATTTCAAATTGCATTTCTATATTCTATGCTTTTCATATTAGAGTTTTAAACTTAAATTATAATCTTAACATCAAACAAAATTATCAATCTTGTATTTTAACCCTTTTTAAAACTATAAATGAATTTGTCTCAAATTGGCTCTTACACTAATGTTCTGTTAAGTATCTCACCTGCATTTTCCGATAAAGAAACCTCAGCTTCTGGTTCAGACATTCGATCTCCTGCGAAGGAAACAGACTAAATGTGGGAACAAGTCACCATTTTCCAAGTCTCAAGTTGAGACAGTTAATTTCAAGTCCTTCAAATCTATTTTTTAAAGGCGTTTTTTAGGCGTTAGCTACAAGTGAGTGTGTAGTTGTCTCTGCTCCATTTATTCTGTGTATTTACGCAGAGTCTTTATACCACCAGCAACCCGAGCTTGAGGTCTCTTTTATTGTAAATCACAATGAAGAGATGAGGGAAACAAAATAAATGGAAAAAATATTCAAACAGTAAAGGTGGTAGTAGGTTATTTTATAAGTGAAATCAAATATCTTGTTTTGGTCTGCAGAAAGTGCTCAACAGAAAACCTCATGGTGACATTTTGCTTATAGCTCCTTTAAACAAGAGGGACGCTTGTGCAGTGGCATTATGGGAAGTATGAATTCATAAATTATGTTTGTTCTGAGCTATAGATTTAGTTCAAACGTTGCTTGTTGTTAAAGGAAAGCTCTATGCTACACCTTGGAGCTTTCTCCCTTCAGTTCTTTTTTTTCCTGAAAAGAGATCACTGGGTGTTTAAATAACACTTCTGTTACATTCAAAAATGTAGGTTCATAAAAGAGAAACTGAGTCCACACAGAAGAGGGATTTTTTAACGGCTTCTGCAGAAGGAGAGAGTTACGTTCAGCTACATCTACTCTCTGACTGACTTCTTCTGCAAAGCCTTTTTATTAGGAGATCATAACACATGGGGTGGGTTACAAAATAGAGTGTTCTTCTCAGGTCATAGGACAAAATGGTCCTCTGATTGAATCACAGAATAGAGTGGTCTCCTGATAAATCCTCTTTACTTTATACATGCTCCCAATTGGTAGAATTATTAGACAGCATGGGATTAATTTCCACTGTTATGCTGATGATACCCAGCTATATCTGTCTATAAATCCAGATGAAGCTAACCCATTACATAGATTACAGGCATGTCTTGAAGACATAAAAACCTGGATGACTCTTAACTTTCTCCTTCTGAATGCAGACAAAACAGAAGTTATAGTCTTTGGACCAGAGTCTCTGAAAAAGAAGCTGATTAGCCAGTCACTTCATTTGGATGGGATTAAACTGATTTCAGATAATAAAGTAAAATATCTTGGTGTTATTTTTGATCAGGACCTGTCATTTAAATCCCAGATCAAAGAGGTTTCTAGAATTTCCTTCTTTCATCTGAGGAATATTGTAAAAATTAGAAATATCCTGTCCAGGGGTGATGCTGAGAAACTAGTCCATGCATTTGTTACTTCAAGGCTGGACTATTGTAATTCTTTACTATCAGGAAGTCCACAAACTGTAGTTAAAAGCCTTCAGCTGATCCAAAATGCTGCAGCCAGAGTTCTGATGAAAATGAAAAAGAGAGATCATATCTCTCCTATCCTGGCTTCTCTTCATTGGCTTCCTGTTAAATCAAGAATAGAATTTAAAATCCTCCTTCTCGCATATAAAGCCTTAAATGGCCAAGCTCCATCTGATATCAGAGATCTGATTGTTCCTTATGTTCCAAATAGAGCACTTCGCTCTCAATCTGCAGGTTTACTAGTGGTTCCTAGAATTTCTAAAAGTAGAATGGGAGGCAGATCTTTTAGTTATCAGGCTCCTCTCCTGTGGAACCAACTACCAGTTTTAGTCTGTGAGGCAGACACCCCGTCTACTTTTAAGGCTAGGCTTAAAACTTTCATTTTTGATAAAGCTTCTAGTTAGAGTGGCTCAGGTTATCCTGAGCTATCTCTATAGTTATGCTGCTATAGGCTTAGACTTTTGGAGGACATAGGGACCCCCATTTCATCATTCTGCTTCATTCTCTCTCTGTTCTCCTATTCTGCAGAATCTGTTAGTTCAATCTCTAACCTTCTGCTCTCTCTGCTTTTCCTCAGAGTAGCTTTGCCTCGTCTGTTCCTGTTTGGCTGTGACTCCATCCTGGAGAGAAATATCAGCTGTGCTGCTTCCATCAACACCCTTGTTTATAGATGTTGGAGATCGGCCTGTTTTCCAGTGTGGTCCTGTTTCTCTGACCGTGACTGAGTGGATGTGCTCTCTTCGTCCTCTGGCATGGGAGCTGCCTTGGAGCTCGTCTGCCTGGCTGTGTGTTTCCTGGACGGGGCCGCCTTTTACAGCTGCTTTTTGTATCTCTGCTTCTGTCTCCTTGAACCCCAGTCGGCCTCAGCAGATGGCCGCTCACACTGAGCCTGGTTCTGCTGGAGGTTTCTTCCTGTTAGAAGGGAGTTTTTCCTCTCCACTGTCGCTACAAGCATGCTTAGTGTGAGGGATAGTATTTGAGTCAATGAGTCAATGCAATCAACTGGTTTTCCTTAGATAGAAAACTTTGTATCAATTTGACTGTATGATCTGGTTGAACTGTAAAGTGCCTTGAGATGACATGTGTTGTGAATTTGGCGCTATATAAATAAACTGAATTGAAATTGAATTGAATAACTGCGATTAGCCTTGCACAAACATCAGCAGTTTTCTACCACCGTTGCATGACAGTTTGCAGTAAACAAAGTGAAGCATCTCATTTCTCCAATGTTTTATATGTACACACATTAACTTTATAATCATCATTGAATAAACCTAACAACTTCATAACTTATATGTATTGAATAACCAGGAGACGTGACAACAGATTCTGATAGAAATTGTGATCTTACTCAGATCAGAGAAGTTGCTTAGAGTTACAGAAGGCAGCTGCTCACCAACCGGGTTCACTTCTCTGGAAGTGGCCTCGATTAACAGTTAGAAAAGCATTTTATGCATCTCCAGACTGACACATCATCACATCATTACATGTTAGCAGATGAGCTTATCAACATATTACACTTTGTTTTTAGATCAAGGACAAGGCTGTCATTCCATTCCCAAATCTTTGCCACGTACAGAATGGAGATTATAACTGTATATCCTGACAGAGGAAATGTCCTAATTATTTTTATTGTGGCAATGTGGCAATAAGAATAATTTGTCTTGATGCCAAAAAGAGCCCAACAGATTTTACTTTCACATGTGGAGCAGTACGGCTATCGCCATAGTGTTCCGCTTGATTTGTGAATGTAAATATCTATATTATTAATTATGCAGGGAGTATTTCAGATTATATGGATTTAATCTGAGCTTAAGATCTTTTTAAAATGTATTAAGAATACTTTGCAGAATTTGTACATTTCTTATGAACATTTTGGAAAATCATTTTGACTTTTTTTATTTTACTTTTACAAGTATTTGGTTTTTTATTTAATTATTTCAAGGCTTAATCAACACAAATTCACGGGAGTTACGTTGTCATGGCAACATCAAGCGAGCTAGAGGTCTCCGGGTTAAGAGGTATCCCTCTCGCAGCAGCAGATCAGTAAATTAACATAGACTAATGACAGAAACAAGGAGGAAATATGGCAGAGAAACACATTTCGGATTTGTCTGCTTATAAGAGTGTTGGAATAATTATGTATAAGATGCTTAATGTTTGTTCTTATGATGTATAATGTGTGACATATTACTGTTCCATAGAGGTGTTGCACAAGTAGTATAGGTCAACTCTCAGGAAGTATTGCTCAAGCTTAACGAAACCAGGAGGTTCTCGGACCATTTGACCGCAAGACATTTAAATGCAAATTGACCTGTTCACTGAGGCTGCAAATTGAATTGTATTTCTTGTTTCCTATTCCTTTAGCGCAACCTCAGCTTGTGTAACTAGGGAGCCCCCCCTCTGACTTTAATAAATAGCAAGGAGAAAGCTGAAGACCGGCAGAGTGGGTTGGAGATTTGTAAACTCTGCAGTCTCTTCCTACTCTCCTCGTGAGTAAAACTAAATTAATTGTCTCTGTGCCTTCTTTCATTCCCTGTATATATGTATGATGTTTTAGGTGCTTATACCTGACAAAGAGACTTTATCTCCACGACCATCTAGATCTCCCAAACATTTGGACACCTGTAACCAGGCAGGGCGCCCTGCCTGTAGCTCTAAGGAAGAGCATGGTGCCGTCGCGCACTTTCACATCTATTAGTGTAGTTTAATAGTATTTTAGAGTGTTATTTTATTATTTTTATCCTGTGTTCTTTGTGTAATGGAGAATTGTTCAATAACATTTAAGTAGTATAATATAATTATTTCCTTGTTGTTTTCGTAAAAGGATTTTGGAGCTAATAGTCACATGTGACATAAATGCAGTGATTTAGGTTCATGCCAGCTGACCAAATCTACATTGTTATAGTGTTATTGTGAACATTAATGCCGCATATATTCACCTGAGAAATTATGATATCTGTGTGTTACAGACCCTGGTTGCACTGAAGTGTATATGCCAATAAAGTAGGGAATCTCAATCTATTTACTTATTTATTTTTATTCAATTTTAAATAGGCCTATAGGCTCATAGGTCTTTTGTTCCCAAAATAAAAAATTCAGAACCCCCTGTTCAAAGTGACATCCAGCTGCCAGGGTGTGGAAAGACAGAGATGGTCTGGGTGTATTACAGGATGAGTTGAATCATTTAATGTAGCTCGCTTATTAAATAACAGCTGTTTCAAACATACAGGTCCAATTCAGGTCCCAAATCATTGCTGCAAAGTCAGGTCACATGTCTCATAATTTTTTTAAGTCAAGTTCTTAGTTATTAAATTGAACATTTAGTCCAAGTCATGTGACTGGAGTCCCTACCTCTGCTAATGTTTAGATAGATGCATGCTCTGTCAGAGCAGAAGTAAATGCAACCTACCTGCATCAGCTTCTCATTGTGCTGCAGTTTGATCTGAGGCAGAAGGTCATTTAGTCTCTGGATCTGCAGAAAAACAAAATAAGCACATGTTGTGGAGGAGAGATGGAGTATCAGCCTGTAAATGGTTCCTGCTTTGTTTCTTTTCGAATCTGATTGTTCCTTATGTTCCTAACAGAGCACTTCGCTCTCAATCTGCAGGTTTACTAGTGGTTCCTAGAATTTCTAAAAGTAGAATGGGAGGCAGATCTTTTAGTTATCAGGCTCCTCTCCTGTGGAACCAACTACCAGTTTTAGTCCGTGAGGCAGACACCCTGTCTACTTTTAAGGCTAGGCTTAAAACTTTCCTTTTTGATAAAGCTTCTAGTTAGAGTGGCTCAGGTTATCCTGAGCTATCTCTATAGTTCTGCTGCTATAGGCTTAGACTGCTGGAGGACATAGGGACCCCTTTTTCATCATTCTGTATCAGTTTATCTCCCATTATTCTCCCAATCTGCAGTATTTGTTAGTTTAACTCCTAACTTTATGTAGTTTCTGCTTTTTCTCATGCTGGTTTTATCTGGTCTGTTCCTGTTTGGCTGTGACTCCATCCTGGAGAGAAATCTCAGCTGTGCTGCTGTGCAGGTTATGTCTGAAATATACCATTGACTGATTTCTGCATGAGGAACTCTACAAAACTCCAAGCTTGACCCATTTTAATCCTAAACCGCTTTCTTTTTAATATAATTTCTACAGAATGAATAAATAGTGAACATGTTATTATCACAGTAGAAACAAAATATTTAGGCAGAACTAAAACTAATCTCTTTATCCCTGAATGTTCTGATGAGGACTTAAAATGAAACGATCCCACAGAGAAAGTCTTTGCTTCCATCAGGCGGCAGCTTCTTACCCGTCTTTCTACAGCCTGCAGTCTGGTCTTCATGCTCCTGTTGATCACAGTCATTGGAATGGTTCTGGGTTTGGGACGAACTGAAGCATAAAAACAAACATTAGTTCAAGGAAAAACTGAATTTTACAGCAGATAATTACCTGCATATTAACTTACACAGCTCAGTAACTAGTAGGAAACCAACCTTTATGATAAAAATATTATAATAATCATTACAGTAACTCTTCTCTGCCTCATGAAATAAGTTTTCGGTGTGTTTTTAATGTATTGGTTCCAAAAAAATATCTATCCAACAAACTCACAACCCCCAACAATATACCTAGTTTTAAAAAATGTTAAAATAATTATTATTTTATAAAATTGTATTATTTTATTTACTGTTTTTAATGTATTTTCCATTATTTAACGTGAAATCGTATTATTTAATTGTGTATTTTACAATTTTATGCTAGAATTTTTAGTAAAAAAATAAACAAAGTTAAAGCACAAATTAAAAATTAATACATAGATAAATCATAGGGTGATTTATACCAGCCACAAGAGGAGGACAATCCTTTCATTTTTTAAGGAGATTTTTTCATCTCATAATTCTCACTCTACTATTTCTGTTGGTAGAAATTCCTGGACGTTTACATCATAACCAGTAGTAGATACTATAAAACAATTATTCTTTTTTTTATTTGAATTATTATTTCTATTCTGCACCACTCTAGCCTTTCTGTGGATGTATTTTTTTATTTTTTATTAAATCGTTGTAAAGAAAAGTTGTAGCTACGGCCTTTAATTCCTTGTTCCAACTATAAATGGAAAACCAATATGCAAAATAGTAGGGTATCTTTATTATATCTAACTAACTTTATTTGTAGAAGTGAAATTATTAGGTTTACATTTTTTGTATTGCATGTAAATAAAAAAAGGGTGTTTTATCATTTAATTATGTGATTAAATGTATAATTAAACATGTCTTTAAGTCTCATTTAGCGTCTTTTCTTGTGGTAAAAAAAAAGGCATCTAAAATAAAATTTCAGCGTCAGTTACCGTGTTGAAAGAACCTGGTTACTTCCAGTACATGCGCCCTGTGGAGAAGCACAGTCCATAATATTACCTGGTGACCGCTCGCTCAGAAAGGCGTGTAGATGAACACGCTTCCTGCGGTCACATACGTGTGTTTACTGTTAGCGGGGATGGAGCCGTTCAGTGGGATCAGATGGCCGCGATGGTTCCTCATCTGCATGGATGCAATTTATGGAAATAATGTGAAAATGTATTTTCATAAAGCACTCAGTGCATCTTAAACATTCCTGTACCTTCCAAAAAATAAAAAATGAACAAACCAATTGACTTTGTTTCCAAGTTTGAACATAAAAAATAGGTGGTTTGAGAAGGGCATGGAGGAAGCCATCTATGTTAAGAAAGAAAAAACCAATCTTAAACAGAGGGGGTGGGGGGTGGACTCAGATTTTAGCTTCCAAAAACCTACAATGCAGTGATAGAGTTAATCCCTTCCCACAATCATTGCAGCCTCAACCCCTTTACAGGAGAACAGAAGACCTCACCTATTCAGCCAGGCCAACAATTCTCTAAACAAAAACAAGACTTTGTCAGGCTACTGTATAAAGCCTGGAACTAAACGCTATTTCTGACATTTTTAATTGAAAAAGCTTCCTGGATGGAAGAGAAACGTCTTCAAACTTGGAAACAAAGTCTAGTGGATTTTTTTTCAAAGTCGTAGGGAAGCGGAATTCTCCCGGGTGGTGCCCGACTTTACACGAGTGAATGAAGTGAATGTGATTGGTCGATTATTCCAGGGGGCGGGATTGTTTTGGAGGAAGGTTCACAAGCAAGTTTGATTGTGGACGGTTTGTATCTTGCTAACCAGTTAGCAACATAGTGCTAGTAGGTTCCCAATAGGAAATTCCATTGGGACCAAGTAGCACTAAATTGGTGACTTAGAAATGACGCTGTCAAGGAACGCTATGGACAGAGGAAACATGCAAGAGGAGGAGAGTTTAGTGTCGGAGGTCGTGGATGAGTCTCCTCCGTCATCCATTTTTTATTTAGAGGAGGAAAGCGGGAGGAAGATGTTGTGGAAGAGGACGCCAGGGCGGCAGAAGCTTGGTTTGGTGTAGAAGGCTTCCAGCCGTACATGTTTGAGCCCTTGCCTCACAACGCTGCCAGTTCTGTTAGCTCTACGCCTGCTGAAGACACAGACGTCCATCCCCGTGAACACTGGGACGCAACTCAATGGGAAAGGAAAGGATTCTGATTTCAACCGCTGCGTATATTAGCTGCGACATATGAATCAAGATGCTATGACCGAAAACATTTGATTGACAGATGACCGTTGATATATGATTGGCCGAATGTAGGTGTGTTTAGGCTGACGTAGAACTAACTGGCCTGCATGAGATAAGGAAGAAAATGAAACATTTTAAATAAAATTTCTAAATTTTGAGACAATATGGTCTGATAAAGAGAACATTTATATACATGTTTAAGTCAGAATGATTTGACATTTCAATATGACTTCCCTACGACTTTAACTTTTTTGGGAATGACTATGACCTGAATGACTGAGAATCTTCACCACTATATTCACGGACCTTCAACACGACATCAGGAGAGTTCAGTCCAAAGGTGTCGGTGATGATCTTAAAAGAGATGTTATAAAAACACGAATTAGTGTAAAACAGTCAATTTTTGGATGTTCATCATGTTGCATTGCTAAGAACTAACATTAAAATATTTGCGATAGAAGGTCTGTCTTTATAAAGTGGAACCAAAATGATTCTGTTTTCACAACAACAGTATTATATTTATAGTCTGTCGGCTTCTGGAGCAGGTCAGTGAAACGAGTGATGAGTGTCATACAGATATTTTACAAAAGTATTTCTACCTGTTGAACTCTTTCTCATCTTTTTTTCACATTGTAATCCTAAACTTTACAACACAACTCTTTTATCAGAAAAGATTGGAGAATTGTAGCATGCAACACAAAAGTTAACAATAAAATTGCTTTATTAAAAAGCTAAAAAATAAAAAACCGGGAAGGGGAGACAGATGATCTGGTTACCTGTTTGATTATGTTGCCTGGAGCTCCAAGAGGAAAGGAGACTTCTCGAAGAGCAGCAACTTCTTCTGCAATAAATACTCAACATTAATATAAATAAGGATTTCTAAATCAATAAAAACAGGTAAATGATGTGATAAATGCACAATGACGTTCGAAACACAGTCATTTACAATTCAAAGTCTCTTCATGGCGTCCGAAAGCCACAGTCATTTCTTCCCACAATCTTTTAATAGTGGTGATATTTATGGGCTAAATCACAGGATGTCTGTAGATTTGTCATTTGCAAACCCTCTCCACTAGAAGCTTTTACTCGCTCACCATGTTTCACATTGTTACAAATGTTCCAGGGTACGTGGTGCGGAAATTCTCTGTTCTGTGAGGAGGTGTCATGATCTTGGCGCCTGATTACTCATTTCATTGACCTGCCTAGCTCCGCCCAGTTCTCATTACTGTAGCCATTACTGTTCTGATCTGTTAGCCTGACCTGTCCTCAGACTCCTGCTGGATTCTGCCAGTGTACCGAACCTTGAACTGATTCTTGACACCATCCTAGATTTCTAAAATGGTCTATGGAGTTCAGTGCAGTGAGGAATGCTCTGATCTTTATATTGGAAAAACCAAACAACCTCTCCACAGACGCATGGCCCAACACAGGAGAGCGCCCTCCTCTGGACAAGACTCTGCGGTACATCTAAACCTTATGGACAAAGGACATTCTTTGAGGACCAGAATGTTCACATTTTGGACAAATAAGACAGGTAGTTTGAGAGGGGCGTGAAGGAAGCCATCTATCTTCTTATCATCTTAAGAAAATACAAACGTAAACAGAGGGAATGGATTCAGGTTTGAGCTTTCCAGGTGAACAGAAGACCTCGCCTGTTCAGCCAGGCCAACAATCCCCTCTAACGACCCCCCTTTCAGAGACATAGACAGGTATGGGGCATTGCAGGCTAACAAAGAAGCCAAACGACCCCCATTCCAAAGGGGGGGACCCGTTCATCCGTTTATATTTGCATGTTTTCTAAACAAAAACAAGGCTTTGTTTTTGGTCTACTCTATAAAGCCTGGAACTCAACGCTATTTCTGACATTTTGAATTGAAAAATCTTCCTGGATGGAAGAGAAACGTCTTAAAACTTGGAAACAAAGTCCAGTGGATTGATTTTTAATTTTCTTTCTTTGGAAGAATCAAACATGTTACCCATTGTTTTAAGTTACAAACAGGACTACAGTTTAATGGCTTCCTTATTGCTATTAAATGTGGAAAGTAGAAAAGCATTCAAGGTTGTAACTTACACCTATAACTAAAACTCACACATGATCTGGATCATTACCCAATCTAAACCTATCGTTCTTTAGCAAGAGGCGCACCTCTGGTAAAAAAAAATAAAAATAAGTCCTTGAAATCCCTTCATATGTCTTTCATTGATTCTGCTAACAAACCAACATTCGCTTTTTTTGTCCTCAGTAAAATAAATACCAACTCCGCTGCTGAAGGTGTCAATAGTCACTGCTGCCCCCCTCTGGTTTAATACGGAACTGCTTATTCTGCATAATATCCCCATCTCACAATGTTAGAGAATCTTTGAAAAAATGACTCTTTCCAGATTATAATATGGATCATCGCTGAAATTTAATGGGCTGATCCTTGAAATGAAAACTGAAAATGAAAACAAACAAACACAGCTGCATTAGTCTTTTATAGCAAATCTAAGGCAAACCTCTAAGTCTACAGTTCTCATGATAAACTCTTGGTCTTGTTGAGAAAGGCTGAATAAGGATCAGAGATTGTAAATAGGGTTGATATATGAAACTTGACTCAGCTAGTTCGTATTTTTGCCTTTCCTTGATATACTTTAACAACTTCTATCTTTAAGGAGAGTTTATTATCTGCAGTCTGCCTCCCTGCCACGAACAAACTGGTTCAGTTTCAGCTGCAGGTCTTTAATTAAACTGCAGAAGATCTTGGATGTTGCAGGTAGATCCATTAAACTTTGAACATTTAGACGAGTTTTTATTCTAAGAGATTAACAGAAATCTGTTCAGTGAAGACAGAAATATGTCCCACCAATGATTCTGTAAAATCTAAGTGGCACAAAAAGAGACATCTGGGTGTTTAACAACCCAATTATGAGGAATTTTAGCAACTAAAATGTAAATATCAGGGTTTTTTCCATATGATTATAACAATGCTGCCAAACGTTACTCTCTTTTTAAAGGCGCTTCAGGAAGCAACATTAAGAAATAAGTTTTAAAATGGCTTCTATGATCAATTTCATGAACAATTTCATTTATATAGAACCATAGCATACAGTTATAGAGCACTTAAAAAACACACTGACTAAACTCCTGCACCTTCTATAGGTCTATCCATAGAGAGAGAATCAAATGACCAGAGATGTTGAAAATTATAAACCTTTGCTGAAATAATTTGGTTTCTATAAACTGAAATCATGTTTGTTATTGAGGCTTTTAGTCTTAGATTATTGCGTTTTATTTTGTGACAGAAATCATCAAAAATCTGCCAAAACTTGTCTTTTTATGTCTAAATACATTTATATATTTACTGAGTATAAAACGGAACAGGTTAAAATTATAACTTTTTCTTATTCATATAATTATATAATTGTTTTCCTTTTTTCTATGCTTTAATCGGGGCCATTAATCAAGATTTCTCTTTTTTTATTATTAATTTCGGGTTAAAAGCTGAATAAATGCGTCACTTCACCGAGATTAAAACACGCGAACATTCAAAAAAAAAAACTTTGATTCCTCAAATAAGACTAAAAAATAATCCAGACCACAAAGGCAAACAATTCACCCATCTTGTGTTGACATAACGGTCGCCATGGAAACAGATGCACATTTTCCCGCGGCCTGTGAACTGCGTGGGAAACTAGGAAGTTACGGACCGGTTGTGTCCACGCGCTTCACGGCGATCCACGCCGATGGTTGCTGAGAAGATTTATCCAGCCTGACAGGAGTCATTTTTTTTCCAGAACGATTTAAACCCGAGCTGGTCGCACATCCGGTAGGGATTTTCAAAATAATATGCAGACAGGAAAACATTGATAGAAAATAGATATTTATACTAAATAGATATTTATACTAATATATTAAACTAATATGGGATAAAATAAGTCACTTTTATTACAAATGAAAGGCATTTTTTTCCTTGGATGAACTTGTTTATTTTGACAAAGAGATGAAAGATTTAAAAAAAAAAAAGGAAATTTGTTATTAAACCAAGAGGCCCTCTGGTGGTCATAGCTGTTAACTGCATGTAAGTAACCGTTTTTCTCTTTAATTGCTGTGAGTTAATATTTAATTTAATTAGCTGATGTTTATGGAGGAGGATTAGGACGAAAAAAGAATTTGAAAATTAACTGATTTTTATATATTATTTTAGTTTAATATGGGGGAAAAGTCAGAATTCTGACTTTAATCTGAGAATTGTGGATCTTAATGTAGATGGGCACCATGAAGGCAGAGATGTGGAGCACTCAGCTTCACTGATAAACATGGGAGTTCTTTGGGAGGAACAGGAACACATTGGTGGAAAATGACTGAATTAGGCGACTTTTTATGTCCCTGGGGGTCCCTGGTGATGCTGTTTGATTAATGGAAGAACAGAAGGTGATTAAAACAAGAGAGTTAGTCTATAAAACAGACATGGCTTGACTTGATGCTGACATGTTTGTTAGCTGTCAGAATTCAGTCAGAATTCTGACTGTTTTCCCATATTAACCTGAAATAATATATTTTTTTAAAAGTTAACTTTTATTTTCTCAGCGGCTATCTTCCAACATTTTCCCAGATCTGCTTCAACTGCTGCATAGTCAACAGGATTTTATGCCAAGAAGTGAGTTGGGGTCAAAGGTCTTCTTCTTCTTCTTCTTATGAGATCTTATGGCGGTTGGCAAACTTGTGAGATGTGCATTACCGCCACCAACTAATATGGAGTAAAGCAAGGAAACAGGATACTGTTTAACTGAACCCAACATAATAAATACTAAATAACATTTGCCCTCATAATTTTAATTTATCTTTAAGTCATTGTGCTTCTGCCAGTTTCTAATGGTCCCATCGGTTTTCCCATCATGCTTTCAACCATTTCCCAGTTTAAATCTTTAACTTCCAGATATTTTTCTGCAGCTTTCACTACTATATTGATTTCATCTGTTTTTCTTGTCGTCCGTGCACTACAATTGATCACTTCCACCATGAATAGAACAAAATCTTTCTTTTTAACAATTAGTGAGTCTTCTTCAATTTTGTTACATTTCTCCAGAGGCTTTGAACTAGCCATGTGTAGGTTTGGGTTTTTCTAACTGAGATGGGATCCTTTTTGCAGCTTCAGCGTATGTTATTCCAAGCTCAAATTTCATTTTTTTAATTTCCTCAGACCCTTTGCTTGCTTCACAGCCGCGATAAGCAGCAGTATGATCTCCACCACAGTGGGGGTCAAAGGTCAGGGTTGGGTGTAGAATACTACTAAATGTAAATTATTCAAACTCCTCCAGTAAAGCACCACTCATCTAGTAGCTATGATCCTGCTCTATAGAGTCAGTTGGTTTTAAGGCTAATCACTGCCCTCTCGTGGCCATAGAATGTAACTTCAACTGAACTACATGAGTAGACCTGAACTAATTAAAGCTTCATATAAGCTTCTGCATTTGGCTTTTAGAAACAATAGCCCATAAATAGATGTTTCAGTTGGTAAACATAGCATGTTTAGATGTAATTTATTTATATGTCACCTTAAATATTATTTTTTGGTCAAATTAATTCAGCAGTAAAAACTATTAACCTCTTTCCTTTCGTTTTTGCAGCTAGGAAAGATGTTAAAGAGAATAGAGATGCACTGTTTCGAGGTTAGTGGTCTCTAACTATCAAATATGATAAAACATATTTTCCTAATGTCTTTATTAAAAATAATTTCAGGAATAATTTTGCTACAAAACGTGAATCCTCCAAATAAAATTTTTGCAGTTAAATTACAAGTATCTATTTTTTTTTTTATCATAAATATCATAAAATAAATATCAGCTTAATTATGATCTATTATCATAATGGATTATAATCAATTGTGATCTGTTATACAAACCGGATTCCAAAAAAGTTGGGACACTAAACAAATTGTGAATAAAAACTGAATGCAATGATGTGAAGATGGCAAATATCCATATTTTATTCGTAATAGAACAAAGATGACAGCTCAAAAGTTTAATCTGAGTAAATGTAACATTTTCAAGGAAAAATATGTTGATTCAAAATTTCCCAGTGTCTACAGATCCCAAAAAAGTTGGGACAAGTAGCAATAAGTGGCTGGGAAAAGGATATTGAGCAAATAAGGAACAGCTGGAAGACAAACTAACACTAATCAGGTCAATTGACAACAGGACTGGGTATAAAAAGAGCCTCTCAGAGTGTCAGTGTCTCTCTGAAGCCAAGATGGTAAGAGGATCACGTATTCCACCATTGTTGCGCAGAAAGATAGTGCAGCAATACCAGAATGGTGTTGCCCAGCGTAAAATAGCAAAGACTTTTAAGTTATCATCATCAACCGTGCATAACATCATCAAAAGATTCAGAGAATCTGGAACAATCGCTGTGCGTAAGGGTCAAGGCCGTAAAACTTTACTTGATGCTCGTGATCTCCGGGCCCTTAAACGTCACTGCACCTCAAACAGGAATGCTACTGTCAAGGAAATAACAGAATGGGCTCAGGAATACTTCCAGAAAGCATTGTCAGTGAACACAATCCGCCGTGCCTTCCGCCGTTGCCAGCTGAAACTCTACAGTGCAAAGAGGAAGCCATTTCTAAGCAAGCTCCACAAGCTCAGGCGTTTGCACTGGGCCAGGGATCATTTAAAATGGAGTGAGGCAAAATGGAAGACTGTTCTGTGGTCAGATGAGTCATGATTTTAAGTTCTTTATGGAACACTGGGACGCCGTGTCATCCGGACCAGAGAGGACAAGGATAACCCAAGCTGTTATCAACGCTCTGTTCAGAAACCTGCATCACTGATGGTATGGGGTTGCATGAGTGCTTGTGGCATGGGCAGCTTGCATGTCTGGAAAGGCATCATAAATGCAGAGACCTATGTTCAGGTTCTAGAACAACATATGCTTCCATCTAGACGTCATCTGTTTCAGGGAAGACCCTGCATTTTTCAACAAGATAATGCCAGACCACATTCTGCAGCAATCACAACATCATGGCTACGTAGGAGAAGGATCCGGGTCCTGAAATGGCCAGCCTGCAGTCCAGATCTTTCACCTATAGAGAACATTTGGCGCATCATAAAGAGGAAGGTGCAACAAAGAAGGCCCAAGACGATTGAACAGTTAGAGGCCTGTATTAGACATGAATGGGAGAGCATTCCTATTTCTAAACTTGAGAAACTGGTCTCCTCTGTCCCCAGACGTCTGTTGAGTGTTGTTAGAAGAAGGGGGGATGCCACACAGTGGTAAAAATGGCCTTGTCCCAACTTTTTTGGAATTTGTTGACGCCATGAAATTTGGAAATAACATATTCTTCCCTTAAAATGACACATTCTCTCAGTTTCAACTTTTGATCTGTGATTTGTGTTCTATTCTGAATAAAATATTTGTTTTTGACACCTCCACATAATTGCATTCAGTTTTTATTCACAATTTGTTTAGTGTCCCAACTTTTTTGGAATCCGGTTTGTAGTTAATTATGATCTACTGCTAAAATCAAATCTGTTTTGAATTTTAAGCAAAAGAAATTCTGCAAAAAAGAATCAAGAGCATCTTTACTTTAACATATCTGAATCTTTATCTTTATTAAGCTTAAACGTTTTCATTTGTTATAGTTCATTTAATTGCCGTCTCCTTTTTATGATACAGATATGAATGAAATAAAGGCGAATTAAGTAAATGTTTATTTGTCCGTTAACAGAAGAAAATCAAATCGTAGCTGAGGCTTTTCTAAACCAGTCTGTGGTTTTAGGACCAAAAAAAAAAAAAACAGTTAGAATATTGAATCTTCATTTGGCAGAGTTCATAATAATATATAAGCTTTAAGGAATAATTTTCTTCTTGAGGTTTTGATATAAGGCTGGGCAGAGGAATTGTCTGCAGCACTGCAGGTCCTGGGTTCAATTCCCTAGGATCTGAATTTTGCATGTTGTGTGGGTACATCGGCTTCCTCCCACAGTCTAAAAACACGACTGTTAGCTTGATAGGTGTCTTTAAATGGCCCTTACAGACCTCAGTCCATGTATACATGGCTGTTTATCACTGACCCTTCGATGGACAGGCGACCTTTCCAGGAGGCACCCCGCCTGCTGCCTACAGATTGCTGAAGATTGGCTAAACCCCCAGACCCCCACAAGCAAGCGGTAGAAGATGGATGGATCGTTGCAGATAAAAACTATGAGCACCACCAGAGGGCGACAAATTGCATTAATGATCAATACAAACCAACACACTTCCATCCAAGAGTGTTTTAAAATCATAAAAGATGAAAATATTAGTTTTCTCCACTTTTGCTTAAAGCATGCTTAGTGTGAGGGATTGCTGAAGAGTCAATGAGTCGATGCAATCAGCTGGTTTTCCTTAGATAGAAAACTTTGAATCAATCTGACTGGATGATCTGGTGAACTGGAAAGTGACCCGAGATGACATGATGTGAATTGGAGCTATAGAAATAAACTGAATAGAATTTAAAATTAAACGTATTTTCTTGTGGCAAAACCATAAAAAACATATGAAAAATTTTGTAAAACGTGAAAAAATTATATCTGTTACAAAGAAAAACCCTTAAAAACAATTTTTTTTTTAAAGAAATTTGGCAGCATAATTGTAAGAAAGATTTAATACTCTAAAATACATTTTTTTATTCATTAGTTTTATTTCTGGATGGCATTTAGTTTTCCTCTGAATGTCTTCCTTGTTTGCAGCAATAATGGAGCAAACTTCACTCCATATTCTCTCAGCCAGAACTCCTAAAGCCAACAGAGCCGATCAGAACCTGATTTTATTGGCAGCAGAATTAA